AAGGTGTTCATGATGCGGTCGGGGTACTCCTCGCGGATCTTGCTGATGAGCAGGGTGCCCATCCCGGACCCCGTGCCGCCCCCCAGAGAGTGGGTCAGCTGGAAGCCCTGGAGACAGTCACAGCTCTCTGACTCCTTCCTCACCACGTCTAGGACCGAGTCTACCAGTTCTGCGCCCTCCGTGTAATGGCCCTTTGCCCAGTTGTTTCCTGCACCACTCTGGCCTGCCAGAGGGAAAGGGAATTAAGTCACTGATGATTGGATTAAATTCCTCCGTACCCTAAACCCCTCAATATACAGACTAATGAGTCGGTGCTCATATAAGATTATTTCAAGTTATTATCAAAATGGTCAGACATTAAAACTTTGGTCATGGATGTAATTATAAGTAAGGAAGGCTAGAGCACCTGCCTATTAGAGGTTGAAAGGTAATCATGTTTTTAGCCTGTAATAAGGCTATGTTGGCATACAACTGGACAGTTCATGTTTTCCCCTGGGCAGTCACACCCCTCCACCCTGAGCTGCCCAGTGTAAAATGAGCCCTCCCATACCATCAGCCATGCCAGGCACTCACCAAACACAAAGTTGTCTGGCCTGAAGATCTGGCCAAATGGTCCAGACCTGACCGAGTCCATGGTGCCCGGCTCCAGGTCCACTAGGATGGCCCGAGGTACATATTTATTACCTGCAGGGAACAAGAGCTTACTTAGACCTGCAAGCAGAAAGCTCTGCAGAGAAGGGCTTGGTACCCGCTTCCTTCTTGTAGGCAGTGATGTTGCCCCTGAACAAAGGAAAACCCACCGCCAGGTTCTCAAAGAGCTGGGCTGGCACAGGGAGCCCACTGAAATACTGCACTGACAGAGTGGGGATCCTAAACTTGCTAGTCTACCCTCCGCTGGGGCCACACCCCTGGGGTCAGTCTCAGGGAAATGGAGGAGTAGAAAAATTGAAGGTGGGGGGGAGACTATTACCAGTGGCTTCATTGTAGTAAACATTGATTCTTTCCAGCTGCAAATCACTGTCTCCATGGTAACTGCCAGTGGGGTCGATACCATGTTCATCACTGATGACCTCCCAAAACTGAGACATAGAAAAAGGCTGCATTTAGCCATGCAAGACGCCCCTCCCCGCCCAGCCGCCGTTTTGATGAACAATGAAAGTCCTGGATTCAGTTCCAGTCCCAGCAAACCAACCTTGCAGGAGCTGTAAAGGGCGGCGTGACCCCGGCACAGCCGCAGGGCTTGTGTTTTGCAGGGTCAGAAAGTTGAAACTGGGCGTTTCCCGGGTGAACAGCTGCTCCCGGCGGGAGGCAGGGGTCGTGGGGGAAGGGACCAGCCGAAGCCTGGCGGTGGCGCAGGGACACAACCGGGGACGACGGCAGGAGGCGAGCGCGCAGGGACTCCAGCCCGCGAGGAGGGGGTGGGCGGGGTAACAGGGACGCGAGGGAGCCCGCAGAACCGTGGTTTAGATTCAAAGCACGTCCAGCGACCGCGAGACAATCGCTCTCCTGCCCTTCCCCCGCACCTCGCCTCGGGTTCGAGCGAGTAAAGTCACTTCTCCTCGCGCCTCCGCCCCTCCCGGCGACCGGCACGGCCTCGCTGACACACCCCGGTCTTTCCCAGCCACACGGGCCTGGCCAAGTGGCGAGAAGGGAGGAAGGGGAGGCCGAGGGGCGACTGGGGTTCTCACTGAGTAACAGCACGAATGAAAGAGCCTCCCTGCCCGAGAGTCGCCTCCGCGCCCACGCCCCGCTCGGCCGCACAAAGCGCCGGGAAGGTCTGCACTTGGCCAGCCTTCGGCCTGCCCAGGACCGCACCCGCGCCGGGGACTCCGAGGGGCGCTAGGTGAGGGTCCCCGCGCCCGCCCGGCCCCCTCCCCGGCGGCGCGCCCACCTTGGCGCCGATCTGGTTGCCGCACTGTCCCGCCTGGATGTGCACGATCTCGCGCATGGTGCCTCGTTAGCGTCTTCCGGGCTCCGGTCGGCGTCTGGTGGGTCTGTCCGTGCTCCCCTCAACACACCCACTGCGGGGTCACAGGGAGCGCGCTCGGGAAACGACGGGCTGAGAATGCCGGCCCCGCGGGCTGGGCCTTTTATACGGAGAAGGTGGGGCGGCCGGCGCAGGCCGCGCCCCCAGCCCGAGCCCCCCAGTCCGCTTCGCGCTGGCGCTCTCCAGGCCCGGCTGACGTAATGCTCCCAGCCCTCGGGACCGTCCGGGGGGCTGGACCACGGGCCCGCGGCCAATCAGCGCGGAAGTGCGGGCCGGGAGAGGGGTGGGGGCTCTGGGCTGTGGGGTGTGGGGTGGGGGCGTGCGCATTGTCTGGGGCTGTTGGGGGGAGGGGGAAAGCTGGGTGTGGAGAAATGGGGGGAGGGTGAAGAAACAGAGGGTGGGTGAGTGGGTGGCGAGGCTGGGAAGACCCGGGGTGGGGGAAGAGTTGGCACTGGGTGGGGAGGAGGGAGGACTGCAGCAGGTGGAGAGGCCGTCAGGTGTTGCGGTTACCAGCAGGTGGGAGGGTTGTGGTGGCGAACTGTGCACTGCCAGCTCGGATTCGCCTCCTCCTTTGCCACCGGCCAGAGTTCTCCAAGCCAACCTCCCCTGGTGAGACCATTGCCCTTTTCCCAAACTCTGGAGGCCAGACTGTCAAGGCACCGACGTCCCGTCACATAGAGACTTGGAGAAGGACAGGTGGCCCTAGAAGCAAGTCGTGTATGAACGCGGCGTTGGGGTCCGAAGGGCTGCGACCCAAGACACCCACGGCCCAAAGCAGCAAGGTGCCCTCCTCCCCGCCTGTGGGGCATCGGCCTGTTCTCTCCTTTGTCTCTGTCTAGAGCCGCGTGCTCCCTTTCACTGCGGCAGCAGCGTCCGGGACCGGGCGACTTCTGAGCCCCTCCAGCCCTGCCCGACCCTCTCCAAGAATACACAGCGCCCCGGCTGGTACTAAGGACCCCTCCACCCCAGGGTCGGCTTTTGTTCGTCGGGAGTGATGGAGTGGGCGTGGCTGGCCGCGCGGCGTGGACTGTCCTAAGGGCAGAGCCAGGTGGGGTCCCGGGGGCGGGGCCGTCGGCGGAACAAAGGGCTCACAGAGGCACGGGATATGTTCCGCAGCTCAGTACTTAAAATCCCACGCCGGGCGTTTCCCTCTCAGTGCTCGGTTCAGCTATTGTCAAGTAAGGGGGTGGGTTCCAAGGGCGGTCATCGCCCGCCCCACTGCGAACACTCTTATCTTCCATCGCGGCGGCCACTAGCTCCCAGTCTCGATGCTGCGTTTGGGGGATGGGGGACACGCCTAAAAACTGCAGCACCGCGAGGGAGAGGCCACGCGAGACCCACGCGCGCTCACACGAGCCAGTGCGCAGACTGGAAGCGCCGATACTCCCTTCACATCTGCAATCTGGGTATTCGAGGAAGGAGCTGATCTCTTTGTTACTTTCAGTGTGTGTGCATGTGTGTGTGCGCGCGCGCTTGTGAAGGGGCTAAAACGGCGTGCGTTTGAAGGGGGGTGGGTGGGTAACAAACGTTCACCGCAGAGCCTGTTCCCTGCCATTCTGTCGTTGAAGTCCCGTCCCCCCACCACGGGTGCTTTGCGAGGTAACACGACCTCCTTTCGCCCTCTGGCAAGAGGGGCCGAATGACCCGGGTTGCCACCGCGGAGCGGAGCCTGCAGCTGTTGAATGAGACCCTCCCAGAACTATTAGCAAGCTGTCATCGCCTCGCTTTCCCGCCGGGGGGTGGGAGGGGGCTTTCAACTCAATTCTAATGTACAAAGAGAAGGAACGAGAACAAAAGCCCAGCCGCCCGCAGACATCCAGGGCGCCCAAACTGGAGCTTACGGGCCACTTTCCCAGACGCGGCTGCGGGTCCCAGGATTGGGGGGGAGCGGGGCGGGGCGGGCCGGGCGACAGTCAGAGCAGCGGAAGGATCCCTACATGGCCCACTCGCGGGATTCCGAGGACCCGGGGCCTGATCCCCAAGTTTCTAATCCAGATACTTTAGATGCAGAAACGCTGAGGGCGAACAAGGTCACACAACTTAAAAGAAAGAGCTCGGGCTTTGGAATCCCGTTTTCCGGGAGCCCCAGCCCTCGGGGAAGGTGACCGCGTCCCAACCGAAAGGTCTGTGGCAGGTGTCAGCCTCGAGGTGGCGGCTCCGGTGGGACCGAGCCGCACCGGAAGGCACAGAGCAAGGGCGGCACCCACGTTGCGAGTGTAGACGCGCGCCGAGCAGATAGCGCTTCGCTGCAAACGCGGAGGATCCAGCCCGACGCGCAGCGCTCGGGGCATCAGCCCCATGCCGGGTAATCTGAGCCGGCCGCCTGCCTCCCTCACCTAACGGTTTCGATTTTTGGCTTCTGTTTCAGAGGCCGATCTCCGCGGAGTGCCTGGGTGAAAACGCGTGTTCAAGATCAAATAGACGAAAGGACCCTTTCTCTTGAGTTTCTTGGTGGGGGGGGGGTTGGGTGGGAAAGGGGGGGGCGGGCAATCATTTTTCTTTTTTTTTTTTTTTTTTTTTTTTTTTTT